AGCAAAAATAGCTTGTTCTAAATCTATTCAGACATTAAAATTATCTAGGTTCAAATCCAAATTTTTACTAAATATTTGTTCTATATCCAAAATTTAGTTAATACTTTGAAAAATATGTTGTTCCTTATATTAACTCAGAATTATAATGTTCTATGAACCAAGTCCGTCATATTTTGTTCTAAATCCTCTCACTCTATACGATAACAAAATTGTGCTAAATCCATTCAATTTGTTTTGGGGATTTTGACATTAAAAATCCGTAGTTTTAATAATTGATTCCGCCGCCAGGGGCGCCCTTATGTGCATTTCTGTCAACTGTCAATTCCTGCGTTATTAAATTTGAAAAAGTGACATTTATTATTCTCGTTATATTTTTGAGTGTTTTTTATATTAATAAGAACAAAACATAATAATGACTAGTACGACGAGTTATATTCTTCCTAATAATAATATATCGCCTAGTTGTTGTTCCGAACTTTTGAGGTAAATAAACAATAATACCTATTCTAATCTAACTTTTCTAACTATTATTTGCCACTTTTTAGTAACCAATTAAATGACTCAAATCTAATCGATGCTGATGATAGATTAGATGTAGATAAGAAAAATAATTCTAATGGAAGTGTTGATGAAAACGTAGTTGATGAAGATAGAATTGATAGAATAAAGAAGTTGAACAAGAAACGTAAAAGAAATCCTTCTTCGTGGAAACAAAATATAAGAAAGAACAAAAGGCAAAGAGGAGAAGAATACATAGATTGTAAAGGAAATTTAAAACCAAAAAAGAAAGTAAAAACTGCGACATGTCATACGGAAAAATGTAGTTTCAAATGTTCACAAGCAATTAATGGAGAAGAGAGGGATCATATCCATAATCAATTTTGGAATTTGGATGACAAACGTAAACTCCATTTCTACTCACAGCATGTCAAACGTATTGTATCGCTACGCAAAAGAACAAAAGAAGAAATTAGTAAGAAAACATACAGCTATAAATACTATTTCTATGTATCCGGAGTGGAAGTTCGAGTTTGCCAAGAGTATTTTCTGAATACATTGAATATAAGCAAACAACGGATCTACTATTTCTTCAAAAATAATATGAATGAAAATGTACCAAGAAGTCCTAAACATGGCAAACATTGCAAANACCGCCGTAACCATGGCAACTATCCTCTAGATAGTTTATCAGGAGGATGATAAAAGTGGGCCTAAGTGTAACTTAGAAGTAACTAAGAGTTGTAACATTGTTTTTGTAATTGCCGTTGAAGTAAAACAAATTTGATTTGCCTAGAACTATTATTTAAAAAGTTACAGATTACGAAAAAAGTGTTCCCCTAATTCTTTTGAGTAGGGTATATATATATAATAAGTATATAGTATATATAAATATATCTCTGTGTGGGTGGGACACAGAAATATTTAGTTTTTAATACAAATGTATAATATTATACAATGTATAATACAAATAGTGTATTTTTGTTTGCTGATCGAATAGTTGGATTATTCATTTGTTGATTTATTATTTTTCTTGTTCGGTCTGCATTTAGCTGTATTTTTAAGAAGATATGATTTTGCAAAATTAATGTCCGTGTAACCAGAGAAACCTCTTTTTGCCTAGTTTAAACGTAAAACACATCTAGAACAATTTGAATCAGCAAAGTTTGAGTTATTTTAGATTGTTCTATGTGTTTTAAATCTTTTTGTGTAATTTAAAACCACTGACGCAAGAATTACTGACTGAAACTTCCAAAAACTTTAATTTTAAAAAAGTAAAGTGTCGTTTATAGAGTTGTTCTAGTGAAAATAATAGCTGTTCCAGATTGCTTTAGGTGTAATAAGTATATGTTTGTAATATGGAATTGAAAATAGAAAAACTATGGTCACAGCAATCAACTAGACATTTTGGCAGCCAAACCGATTTTTAGTTATAACTTCGTAATGCTGTAACCCATAATTTTGGTTTTCTAGAACAATAACTAGAACAACTAGAACAACCCAGAACAACAAAGAAAATCTGATTTTTCCAAAAAAGGGGGATTTGGAATAATGTAGAAGAACTCTAGAACAATCTAGAACAATGAAAAATTTAAAAATAAAAAAATGGAGGGTTAACTCCCGCACTCCACAGTAGTAAAAGTTGAACTATCTAAATTTGCAGGTTGAGACCACGAAGTGGTTTACTTCTTAGTAATATACTACTTCGTGGTTGAGACCTATTCGAATAAGCAATTGCCATAGAGATGTAGGAACGGCAGCATTTGCTTAAAATTTTTATTCATGTGATGATCTAGCCATTGCTTTTATTGCTAGCTTTTTCTTGTGAAGCAATTGCTTTTCCTAAAAAGCGATTGCTTAAAGCAATTGCTAAAATTTTATTCATTAGGGACATTGTTTATCAAAATCGATTTAGTGGTTCTCTTGTTATAATCAAATTGCTATACATGTAAAATCTAAGTATACTTTATCGGTAATGTTGCAAGACCTTCGGAGATAGGAATTCCAATTAGGTTGAGTTCCAAGGATACATTACAATGTACACCAGTCTCTTACCGTGTAAGGTATATTGAACACTTACATATCTTAAGCTGCTAGTTTTCCATATGTACATATAATTAGAATATTCGTGCAAAATAATTTGATATTACAATAGGGTTATTTAAGTGATAGAATGCTATCATTCTATCCGCTGTATATAGAATGAGAGTCATTCGGCTTGCGCATACAACATGTCAATCCTATTATTCTACGTGGGAAATAACCATGATGCTCTGATCTTAATGAGAGTTAGTACTTTCATGGAGACATTGTGGTTAGCGAGATTTAGAAACCCTCCAGCATGCCTATGAAGTGTGTATATTTGCATCTTGGTTATTTATACACAAATATCTAGTATAGTGCTTTTGACATATCTATGAAGCAAAGGTGTGCTTCCGTACCCTTGAGGAACGGACCAAACTTATGTAATAAGTAATAAAATATCTACTAATTCCAAGTGTGTCTAAATGTCCCCAATTGGTTCCAAGTATGTCTAAAGCGCATGCGCAACTGATTTCTGTCACCATAATGAGTTTGTAACAGAAAAAAGGTGGATTAAGAAAAAATACAATTGATTACGAATCCATTTCTTTAATGAAAATAATGTACATATTATTGCCTAGACCGCAAAAATTTATATTACACTTCAGAATAGGGTCTTATACATCAGTTTTTTTCTCCGTTATACACTAAAAGTTTTTTTCACGTTATTTATATTTTTTTTTCGTAAAGAGTATAGATTCCCTCCGAATCTAGAAACCGCAAACCTCCTAAATAACGGTTGCCGCTCATTTATACTACACACATATCTCGTATTATAACTACGAAAGTCTCTATGTCCTATGGAAGTTTAAACATTTACTTTGTTAATTTACCGATGACTACTTTTTTTTGTCACTTTTATACAGTCAAAAAATTCTAATATCTAATAATAAATACATAGTAGTGATATGATGGGGGATTGTTTAAAAAACAATATTCGTAGGACCGTATTTAAATATTTTTTTTGTTGATATATACTTCGTGTTTAGATATGTGAATATTTTTTTTTTATTCCCGGGAAATAAGAAAAGTTTAAAATTTAAATCATGTTTATAAAGATAAAATTAAAACACGATTTAAACTTTTTTCTTTTTACTTAAAAACATTTTCGGTTTAAAGTATTTTTTTAAGTATGTTTCGTATATGTGTGTAAAATAAATAAATAAAAATGTTTACAAACAATTTTTTACAACAAAATTTTTTTTCTTTTTACAATAAAAGGAAATGACCCTATTCTATACTTTCTTCTACACATTCTCAGGTCTATAAACATAAATATACATCAGTCTAATAAAAAAGAACAACGTATTTAGTAAAATAATATTAATTAATAAATTGATATCAAGAATTTTCGATAATGGGAAATAATTTTTTTTAAGAATTATTATTTTGAGTTTTAAAATTATTTGTTGTAGTATCAAAAATATGACTAGATGAATATAAAAAAGGTAAAGAAAAGAAACTTGTATAGGATGAGTGTATAAAAAGTAAAAATTTAATGATTTAAAAATTCTATTATCAAAATTATTTCCCATTATAATACAAATTAAATTACAAGTAAATAATAATGTCCTTCTTAATATCGTGCTGTTTTTATAATTAGGAACTTTCTTTTATATCGTTTAACTCTCTCTCTTTCATTCTCATTTCTTTTTGTTTATTTTTTTCTTATACGTTTTTTTGGTCCTCCGCGGTAAAAAAGAACCGTCTAAAAAACATTCGATCACTATTTATAATATTTACACTGAAATACATAAAAACATATAATATTAAATTTTTGTATAATAATAAAAATTCCATGTACGCTAAAATGTTCTATATCTATATCGATATCTAATTTAATAGATAATAGCTACTCGTCTAGGGCGGTATTTCATTTTCGTATTTTAAAAGATTTTCTTTTCTTTTTTTCAAAAATCTTTTCTTTGTGTAAATTTCATTTCATTTACTTTTGGGGTATCTCTATCTACACAGTAAAAGTTATTTTCATTTTTCGAGCGTCGGCGAGCAACAGCCATCCAAAATATATAATTATGAGACCCTGCTTTACAAATGGCTGTTCCGCGCAGAGTCGTACTTAATAATTTTTCGTCGGTATTTATTTATTTTTCTTTATACAGAAGAATATGAAAAAATAATTAAATTAATCGAAATAAAAGAAAAGAAAACAATTTATTTATATAGGATGTTTCAAAAATAATGAAATTATATATATATATATATATATAGATATATAATAATCATTATGATGGTTAAGTTATTTTAAGACAATTTTTTTTAATATTGTCATTTTTGATGGAAACTTTTTATACTGAATTCAAATTGAATTGAAAATGCAAAGATTTTGAGGCAAGTTTTCTTTTTCTACGAACCTCAAAATAGTTTAAAATAAATTGAGTGAATAAATAAAACTCCACAGCCTCGATATAATATATCGAAGTAACAAAGTTTTATTTTTGATAGGATAGATTTGGATATGCTTTACAAGCGGTTGTGACAAAAGTTCTTTTTTTTGTTCGAAGTGTTATAAAAGCTTAAAGAAGCTGGTTTAATCACCAGGGCTCCAACTTGATGGAAGATATTTTCGTATGCATGCTCTTCAAAAACACAGAGTTTTTACCATTATTTTGTCTTGGAGGTTATTCATGAAAACTGATATAATAGAAGAGATTAAAACTTGAACTTTCAAGTACCTGCAACAGAAATCCTTCATTGCAGATTAATCGAAATTCTCAGACGAATTTGGGGAAGACGTGGTTTCAACACAACTTTATTTCATACATATAATTCGATGGTGAACCTAAACTTGGTTAAGTTTAGGTGATATGATGTTAGTATTGAAGTCCTAACCTGAATGCAATAGAGCTGTTAGACTCATAATAAAATTGCAGCTTTCATGCCTGCTTATCTTTGCTGTTCTATGATTTCAAATAATTGGTCTTAAACGATTAGGTCTTAATTGCAATTAGACCATAACAAAATAAATTTTGAACTACACAATCTGCTAATAAGTAGAGCCGTTTTCTGTTGACATCAAACAATTTAAAGAAGTTCTTACAGCTTGCCAGGCGATCATATTCTAAGTCAATTTTAACTATGTCTTGTTAAAAGTGCAAACAATTTTAATCTGTAGGAAGGACCATCGAGGAAAATGAACTTGATGTTATGTATCTTTGAATGTTGTAATCAAATCAAGCATTTTTGAGCTTTTTATCGATATGGTATCGAAATTATGCCTCAGCCACAAGCGACCTTGACTTAATTACGTCACACCTTCTTGAAAGCTGGAGTTTTGTTCGATATGGGATTAAAATAGCATGTCAGACGCAAGCGATATTAATTAAGCTATCTATTAAATAGTCCAGATTTCAATACCACATCAATGTACTACCCCTAGTTGTACTTCCTTGAAAACAGTGCGATAATGGAATTATACATCATTAAAAACTGTGGAGTTTTGTTCGATATGGCATTAAAATAGCACGTCAGCCGATATTAATTGAGCTATCTATTAAATAGTCCAGATTTCGATACCACATCAATGTAGTACCCCAAGTTGTACTTCCTTGAAAACAGTGCGATAATGGAATTATACATCATTAAAAACTGTGGAGTTTTGTTCGATATGGCATTAAAATAGCACCTCAGCCGATATTAATTGAGGTATACATCCTTGAAAACAGTCCAGATTTCGATACTATATCGATGTAGTGCCTCGGCCGCAAGCGACCTTGACTTAATTACGTCATATCTTCTTGAAAGCTGGCGAGTTTTGTTCGATATGGCATTAAATAGCACCTCAGCCGATATTAATTGAGCTCATCCTTGAAAACAGTCCAGATTTCGATACTATATCGATGTAGTGCCTCGGCCGCAAGCGACCTTGACTTAATGAAGTTGTACTTCCTTGAAAACTGTCTAATTTTGATCTTTATTGCATTAAATAGGGCATTGGCCGCAAGCAACCTAGTCATAAGTCATTGAAAAGTTCATCTTTCCATTGAAATAGTATCGATGTAGCGCCTCGGTCGCAAGCATCCTCGGCTTAATGACAACAGACATCATTGAAAAGTTTTTTAGAAATGGCATTAAAATAGCACCTAAGCCGCAAGCGATATTAATTAAGCTATACATCCTTGAAAACAGTTCAGATTTCGATACCACATCAATGTAGTGCCTCAACCGCAAGCGATCTCGGCTTAATGAAGTTGTGCTTCCTTAAAAACAGTGTAATTTTGTATCTTTATGGCATCAAATAAGGCATTGGCCGCAAGCAACCTCGTTTTAATTAAGTCATACATCATTGAAAACTCCATCTTTCCATTGAAATGGTATCGATGTAGCGTCTCGGCCTCAAATGACCTTGGTTTCATGAAATGGTTTAATTTTGTATCGATAGGGCATTGAAATATCGCCGCGGCTTAATTAAGTCATACATTCTTGTAAATTCTCAGCTTTATATTAAATTGATGTAGATCATTAGAAATTATTTAATCTTTTCTAAACAGCACTAATGTGTGAATAGCAAAAATGGTTATAAGATTTCTTAGGATTCATGTATCCAATAGAGGTGTTCAAATCAAATAGTAGGGATATTTGGATATCACTACATTGTAATATATTTGGAGGAGTTTCTAAACCATTTCTTAAAGTTGCCATAAAATTTGATGAACCACCAGAACGTATCAGAAATGCTTTAGCGGATATGTAGCATATTTTAGATCTGATATCTTCAATCTTTATCCAAGATATGCTGTCACTTATTCCATTAATATTTAATATTAATAGAAACCCCACAATTCTTAAGTGCATGCTCATTATGACAATATAATGGATATCATGGATTTCATTCGCAGTTTAAGTTATACCTAAACCACAAATAGCTTTATCATATAAAGTTCCAATATATAGAAAAAAATGCATAGCTTCAAATAAATGCTACAAATAATCGAACGAGTACAAATAAAGTTAAATTTAAAAACAATTACATTTTGAAACACCCTATATGTTATTGTTTTCTTTTTAAAATTAATTTGAACGATTCCTTTGAAAGTTTAAAGATAGTCGTGTGTAAAAAGACTTCTAAAAACTTGAGGAATTATTTAAAAGAAATAAATAAAAAAAATGTAGTAAATAATAAAACGCAAGGAAACGAATAAATAGTAATAATAATAATAATAAAATTGGCAACAAAAGTCGAGTCCAAGAATATTTACATTAAAATGACAAAAAAATTAAAATTAAACATTAAAAACTGGCGTTTCGGCTTTCATTTTTTTCGTTTAAGTGATAAATAATAATAAATTTATCAAAGTAATAATAAAAAATTAATGGCAACGAAGAGTGTCTCTTATGATTAATCTTTTTTTTTGTAAAAAGATTTTATTATCTTTCCTCAACTTTTCTCGGTTATATTGCACAACACATTTTAAAGTTCAAGTCGAATTTTTTAGTCCATGTAATGATCCGCAAAAAAATTCGCGTGTGGTCATTCTTGTTTCACCATAACATTCGGATTAAAGTTGTGCGCAGAAGAAGTCACCAACGATAAAGGACTCGTCGATAATGAATTAGCTATAGCATACATTGCCCCGTTTGAGTTAGCCACCGAACAAGGAGATCCCATAGCTGCTGCTGGTGGGTTAATTCTTTTCTCTTTTTGTCTTCGATTACAAAACCACACCCTTACCACCTCTTTTTCCATACATAAACTATCAGCTAATAAAGCAATCTCTTCGGATGTAGGTTTTGGGTTACTAACAAAAGCTTTTTCTAAAGCAACTCGTACACTCGTTTCTATCGACGTTCGCTTCTTACGTCTCCTTCCGATCGCTTCCGGCGTTGTCATTGCACTACTTAAAGCGGTCGGATTTGCTAATGTACTGTCCGCATCCTCTAGCCATTTTTGGAGGAGAGGTTTTAGTTTGCACATGTTTTTAAAACTTAAATTTAGAGCTTCGAAACGAGAAATTGTTGTTTGGGAGAAATCGTTTCCGTAAAGTTTTCCCATTGCTAAACCAACATCTCCTTGGGTGAATCCTAAAAAGATTAAAACAAAAAAAATTACTTTTCATTTTAAAATTAAAGGTCAAGAATTTTTTTTGCAACGCGTTATAAATCATGAAGTGACAGATTGATAATTTAGTACTTCAAAGAATAGATTGGGATCAAGAACTATCAAGAAAAAATTATCTTATGGCGCCTAATAGAAATTTATATTTACCTAATTTAATTCTCCTTTGTTTAAATGTTTTTGCAAATTGTTCCAATTCTTCTAAATCAGTCGTTTCCTCAGGAGATGGTTCCAACAATCTTGGTGTTGTTTTGTATTGAGGTGTAAGTGGTGCAGATCCTGGAGTATTTGGTGTTAGGAGACTCGGAGGAATCAGTGAATTATTTGGCGGCGTTGATTGTGTTTGAGGAATCGGGTTATTTGAAGGTATGCTTGTGTTATGTTGATTAGAGTTTTGTTGTTGGTGTTGTTGCATTTGCTGTTGTTGCTGCTGTTGCTGCTGCTGTTGTTGCTGCTTTTGGAGTTGCTGTAATTGTTGGGCGATCTATACAAAAAAAACAAAAAAAATTAAATGTGATGCTAATTTTTGTATTTAACATGCAAAAAGATGAGGAAGAAGAAAAAATTATAAATAAGGAAATAAACACCGAACGCACCTGGATGTTGTGCGTTGGTCTTGTAGGAAGACTAGATCTTGGAAAGTTTTGTAGAAACCCCTTGAAAATGAAGAGAATTGAACATGAAGATGGGAGGATGTTTAAACGAAAAAAAAGATACTTACTTGGTTTTGAAGGAAAAATTGTGGGTTAAGTTGGTTGCCGGCGTGCTGTTGTTGTAACATAGCGAATTGTTGCATTTGAGGGTTTTGAAACAGGTTGCCCAACATTTGTAGGGGATTCCCTAGTAACGGTCCGAGGCCGGTCAGTGCTGCCAACGCGGCTCCTACCCCTTGGTTCGAATTATTCACTTGGGAATTTGGAGATGACCGTGCTGGTTCACTTTCAGTCGTCACCTGTGCGAAAATTATAAACGATTAATTATAAAATATCGTGACCATCGAACCAAAACGGTGGCGCGGCGATAAAAACGCTAAATACAAAGTTTATTTTTTATCTGGACCCGATTATTTTTATTGTTCGATGACGTAATTTGTACCTACGATAAAATAATTAAGTTTAACTTTTTTTTATTTTTATTGAAATAAATATACCTAAGTCGTTTTGTAACTTTTAAACCTTCAAGATTAATTTAAAACCGCAATAACATTATAAAATCATTTTAAAACTTTAATAACGTTCATAATAACGTTGACCAATTAAAGATTTTTGGTAAAAGTTCTTGAAAATATTTATTAGATTCATTTATTAAAACCACCACAATAATATTCATTATATAACTAAATAATTTAAAAAAAAACATTAATATTTCTTGATATCTTTATGATGATCAGGATTGAAGATGTCTTGTTATCAAATCCAATCCAACGAGTGTAATGAAACATAGTCATGTTTTTAAACAGTGATTATTAAAGTGTAGTACAGTGATTAAAGTCGTTGTGTTGGGTTGGGTCTCTGAGTAATATCACGTCCTCAATCCTGATCATCGCTCGAGATCTTGATGATTAGGGATGATGACGTGATGTTACTTGGTAACCTAATACAACGATTTTTATGACAATGTTATGATTGAGTTCTTAAATAGTAATCATTAAAATCGTTGGGTTGGGTTTCTGAGTAACATCATGTCCTCAATCCTGATCATCACTCGAAATCTAGATGATCAGGATTGAGGATGTGATGTTACTTAGTGACTTAACTTAACGATTTGAATGTATAGTTTACGAGTAATCACGATTTAGAGAGATGATAAAGAAGATGTCAGGTTAGCTGATCCAACCCAACGATTTTTATGACAATGTTATGACTGAATTCTTAAATAGTAATCATTAAAATCGTTGGGTTAGGTTGGGTCACTAAGTAACATCACGTCCTCAATCCTGATCATCACTCAAGATCTTGATGATCAGGGTTGATGACGTGATGTTACTTAGTGACCCAACCCAACGATTTTAATGTATAGTTTAATCACGATTTCGGGAGATGATCAGGATTGAAGACGTCATGTTACCCAATCCAACCCAACGATTTTTATGACAATGTTATAACTGAGTTTTTAAATAGTGATCATTAAGCGCCCTTCACACGATCAATATATATTGTTAATATCAGAGTATTGACAATATTATTGAACGTGTGAGTAGAAAGATTGACATATTGTCAATATTGATGGCATGGTTTGACGAAAACGAAAATATTTGATATTCATTCAACAAATTCATTTGAGAAAACGTGTCTCCCTTCAGAAGCCATTCCCTAGCCCATATTCTCTTTTGCTTCCGGCGTTTTATTGTTAAAGTTAAAATAATAGCTACACAAGCTTTTTGACGATATGACATCTTTGACCGCCAACGCAAAACTAAGTAGTTTGTCAATAAATATTGATAGTCTGAGGCAATTAGAGTTTGTCAATATTTATTGCATATATTGACAATATATATTGATCCTGTGAATAACATCACGTCGTCAATCCTGATCATTACTCGAGATTTTGATGATCAGGGTTGATAACGTGATGTTATTTAGTAACCCAACCCAACGATTTTAATGTATAGTGTAATCACGATTTCGAGAAATGACCAGGATTAAAGACGTCATGTTACCCAATCCAACCCAACGATTTTTATGGCAATGTTATGACTGAGCTCTTAAATAGTAATCATTACAATCATTAGGTTGGGTTCCTGAGTAACATCACGTTCTCAATCCTGATCATCACTCGAGATCTTGATGATCAGGGTTGATGACGTGATGTTACTTGGTAACCTAACACAACGATTTTAATCTATAATTTCATCACGATTTCGAGGGATGGTCAGGATTGAAGACGTCATGTTACCCAATCCAACCCAATAATTTTTATGACAATGTTATGACTGAGCTCTTAAATAGTGATCATTAAACTCGTTGGGTTGGGTTAGGTCTCTGAATAATATCACGTTCTCAATCCTGATCATCACTTGAGATCTTGTTGATCAGGGTTGATGGCGTGCTGTCACTTAATGACCCAACCCAACGATTTCAATCTATAGCTTAATCACGATTTCCAGAGTTGATCAAGATTGAAGACGTCATGTTACCCAATCTAACCCAACGATTTTTGTGACAATGTTATGACTTAGTTCTTAAATATGTAGTGACCATTAAAGTCGTTGGGTTGGGTTGAGTCACTGAATCACCAACCCTGATCATCAAGATCTTGAGTGATGATCAGGATTGAGAACGTGATGTTATTCAGTGACCCAACCCAACCCAACAATTTTAGTCTGTTGTTTCATCACGATTTTGAAAGTTGATCAGAGTTGAAGACGTCATATTACTCAATCCAACGACATTTACGAAAATGTTATGAGTTCTTAAATAGTGATCATTAAAGTCGTTGGGTTGGGTTGAGTTTCTGAGTAACATCATGTCCTCAAACCTGATCATCACTCGAGATCTTGATGATCAGGATTGAGGACGTGATGTTACTCAGAAACCCAGCCCAACCCAACGACTTCATTGAATACTATTGTGATGATCACTCGAGATCTTGATGATCAGGATTAGTGACGTGATGTTACTTACAATTAGTAACCCAACCTATCGATTTTAGTCTATAGTTTAATAACGATTTCCAAAGATGATCAGATAAAATAATTAAGTTTAACTTTTTTTATTTTTATTGAAACAAATATTCCTAAATAAAATCCAAAACAAATGTTTTACAACAGGCTTTATTTTAAATATTAGATCAACCTGACACTTTAAAATGCCACGTTAATACAGGAACCACGTTAAACCACTTAACCTATATATTTTAACGGGGTTCCTGCATTTTCTTCGTGGCATTTTAAAATTTACATATTTTCTGCTAGCAGCAACATTGTTTCATGTTAAATTTCCTCGTATATCACTTTTATATTTAACGATACCTCCGATGATGGTCCAATAGTGACCGAAACATGTCAGGTTGATCTAATATTTAAAATAAAATCAGTTGTAAAACATTTCTTTTGGATTTTATTTATTCGTCACACTGGTTAAAATTATGGATCCACATATTCAACAAAATATACCTAAGTCATTTTGTAATTTTTAAACCTTCAAGATTTTAAAACTTTAATAACATTAATAATAACGTTGTTATAAATTAAAGATTTTTAGAAAATTTCTTGAAATTATTTATTAGATTAATTTATTAAGAATTAATATTTCTTGTTATCTTTAAATAAAATCGCTTTTGTTAATTATAAATTAGTTTCAATTAATAATTACAATTGTAATTATTACCGATTAATCAATTCTTTTTTGTTTAAAATGGTAAATTTATTTAATTACAAGTAATAGTATAAATATCGTTTAAATTGATCTTTTCGAACTTAATAAATCATGTAAATGGCGTGATGTGGGCGTGATCGCGCTTGTTTCTTGTCGTGTTCTCGGCTAACAAACAGGATTAAATCTGAACTGAAGGAAAACACGATAGAAAGAGAAACGCAGGGGTGGTGTAGTCCCCGAAGAATTTAAACATTTTAACTTCTTGAAGGGGGTTCAACTGATTTCCGCCCAGTTTGGGATTAAAACTTTGTGTACAACCCTTAGATTTTTCCGGGTTGTGGAGGAAAACGAATTGGCAACGTTCTTCGTTTGGTAAATATCTCGCGGCGTTTTTCGTTTATTATGTTTGCCGGAAAAATCTCGTGCGTTACATAACAACGTTGAACATCTTTTCTAATAAAATTAGGAACTCACCAAGTTTAATGCTCCATCTCTATCTGAATCCATTGAATCTTCATCGTGCCGATCTGCGGGATGATCACTCGATATACTTTGATCATCTCCACTTAAATCACCATTAACATCACCATCTAAAAAAGAATGATTAAAAATTAAAATTATTGATTTCAACGAATTTTAATAATTCATTTAATAACGGTTTATTTCCGTTTCAGATAAGATAAGAAATACGAAGTTAACATATTAAGAAGGAAAAGGCTAATTAGGAACTACAAACATAGCGATTTGATTTCCTTTTATTATAATTAAAATTCCAAGAAAATTGGGTAAGTTAACGTTTTATTTTATTATATTCATCTAATTATAAAAATAGTTTTTTAATTCATTAGAAGTGAATTATTAACAAATCTTCCAGTTAAAAGGATCGATGATAAATCAGGTGCTTATAAATCGATTACGTGCGAGAATAACAACATTATTAACGAAGCGATAAATAACTTTCTATTGCGAGTAAATATTTTTGCCGTTGTAATCGAAAATTATAGTGCAAAAAAATCTGGCGTCGAAAGACTCCCGCCATTTTTGTTTGTTCAAATAATATGTGAAGTGTATTTATTAAGCACGCAATATTTTAAACAATTATTGAGAAATATGCTCGTATAAAGATAAAGATAATGCTTCGGTATCTCATTTATCAATGTCTAATGTACACATGTTTTCCAACACTCTATCAATGTGTTCTAGAAAAAAACTTTATTATTGATTTATATATTTTATTGATACTTTTAAATTAAATAATATTAAAGAAACATTTTCAAATACAATATTAGCCTTCTTGTATTTAACTTGTTATAATCTTATTACAATCATTATTCTTTCTATTTTAAGGTATTCACTAGGAGTTGGTGATTCTAATTTTGTTGATGTAACAGATAGCGTATGAGATGTTAAGACGTGTTCATACCATTAAATATGCTCTAATGACGCTACGCTCCCAGAATAAAATATATTTTAATGGCTACAAAATTCATGCTCATCAACATATAACGTCGGAATTATTTTCTTTTTCCTTTGTTTGTACGGCAATCAATTAAAATTAAAGCATTTATTATGTTTAATTCTAAAATAAAGTAGCGACATTGAAAATTACATTTGAATGTGTGTGGTAACAAAAGATTTAAGAACACTTTGTGTGTAAAAGTTTTTTAGTTTTATAGGAGAAAAAAAATCTTAAAGAAACCTATTTCGATAATTTGTAGCAATTAAAATAAGTGTTAATTAGGATTTGCTAAAAAATTTAAATTAATACTAATTATGAGATACATTTTTGACGTCTTCAATCCCGATCATCTTTCGAAATATTGATTAAACTATAGATTAAAATCGTTGGGTTGCGTCATTGAGTAACATCACGTCATCAACCCTGATCATCGAGAACTCGAGTAATGATCAGGATTGAGGACGTGATGTTACTCATTGACCCAACCCAACAACCTCTATGGCAATGTTATGAAATGTTATGATTGAGTAGTTAAAGTCGTTGGGTTGGGAAGAGTTACTGAGTAACATCACGTCCTCAATCCTGATCATCACTCAAGATCTTGATGATCAGGGTTGATGGCGTGATGTTACTTAGTTACCCAACCCAACCCAACGGTTTTAATTCGTTGTTTCATCACGATTTTGAAAAATTATCAGAGTTGAAGACGTCATATTACTCAATCCAACGACTTTTATGAAAATATTATGAGTTTTTAAATAGTGATCATTAAAGTCGATGGGTTGGGTTTGGTCACTGAGTAACATCATGTCCTCAATCCTGATCATCACTCAAGATCTTGATGATCAGGGTTGCTGACGTGATGTTACTCAGTGACCCAATCCAACCCAACGATTTTAATATCTAGTTTAATCACAATTTCGAGAGATGATTAGGATTGAAGACGTCATGTTACTCAAGCCAACTCAAGGACTGTTATGAAATGTTATAACTCAGCTCTTAAATAGTGATCATTAAAGCCGTTGGGTTGGGAAGGGTTACTGAGTAACATCACGTCCTCAATCCTGATCATCACTCAAGATCTTGATGATCAGGGTTGATGACGTGATGTTACTTAGTGACCCAACCCAACGATTTAAATCTATAGTTAAATCACAATTTCGAGAGATGATTAGGATTGAAGACGTCATAGTACTCAATCCAACTCAACGATTGTTATGAAATGTTATGACTGAGTTCTTAAATTAATAGTGATCATTAAAGTCGTTGGGTTGGGTTGAGTCACTAAATAACATCACGTTCTCAATCCTGGTCATCACTCAAGATTTTGATGATTAGGATTGATGACGTGATGGTATTTAGTGACCCAACCCAACCCAACGATTTTAATCTATAGTTTAATCACGATTTCGAGAGATGATTAGGATTGAACACGTCATGGTACTCAATCCAACTCAACGATTATTATGAAATGTTATGACTGAGTTCTTAAATAGTGATCATTAAAGCCGTTGGGTTGGGTTGAGTCACTAAATAACATCACGTTCTCAATCCTGATCATCACTCAAGATTTTGATGATCAGGGTTGATGACGTAATGTTATTTAGTGACTCAACCCAACTCAACGATTTTTATGACAGTGTTATGACTGAGTTCTTAAATATTAATCATTAAAGTCGTTGGGTTGGGTTGAGCCACTGAGTAACATGACGTCCTCAACCCTAATCATCACTAAAGTTCTTGTAAGACCTCAGTGATGATCATTGTAAGACCTCAGTATCATCAAGATTTCGAATTATGAACAAGATTAAATAGATTACATGAAGTAGTAGATACTCCATGTAGAAAGCAAACTCCTAGAAATTTGCAGATCTTCTCATCCAATATTATTGGAGTTATTAATTACCACATCAAAAGTTCCCTGACATCAAAAACTGTGTTTTAAGAAGTTCTCTACTTTACTAAGAAGAAACTTAGTTAGGTTTCGATGAAGTTTCTTGAGTAACATTAAATTTTTAAATCATTTCATGAAGTTTTCTGGCATATATTATTTTCATTGAAGGTTGAACGTTTGATGAATAAAGCTTTTTTGATTTGAATAGATTTCGATGAAGTTTTTTGAGATAAAATAAAATTTTGCAATCAATGTTAATGTTTGAGTGAAGGTTCTTTGCTTGATAAGAAATGTTTAGTTAATACTACTAACTTATCGTTATAATTTCAAATTTATATGAAGTTTCATCAAGCTGATGAGGTTGATGAGTTGAAAATTAAGATTTGTTTACTTTCATTGAGGTTTTTTAACTTCATAACAAAGTTTAGGTAATAATTTGAGGTTTTGATGAAGTTTCCTCCATTTGCTTAGGTTTCAATTAAGTTTTTTGTGATAATAATAAAGTTTCTTTGCTCGATAAGACACTTTTGCGTGGTACCAATAACTTTTTGCTTCATATTAACACCTTGTAGTTATAATTTCAAGTTTTAATCAAGTTTCATCAACTTAATTAGGTTCCAATGAAGTTTCGTGAGTTAACATTAGATTGTAATGAAATTCTATACATTATATTTGGTTTTGTTGAAGTTTCCTAGCTTGATAATAAACTTTTGTGATAATAATTTTAATTTTGGTGAAGTTTTTTGAATTATTCTAAGATTTTACGCATAAAAATTAGATTTAGGTTTGTTTCAACCTCAACTTAGGAAGTTTTCTTAATAGTTCTATCTCATTTGAATAATTGTGAAGTTTTTTATGGACATTATAAAGAGGTTAAGCCTGGTTTTCGCTGTTGCAAATCTTAAAGAAGCTAGTTAACTCAATATAGCAAACTTCATTCTGCCTTCACTCTACCTTATCTTTTCCGTATGGTTCATTTTTGATTAAATTTTAACAGCATATATACTAACTATTACCAATTCTCTTAATAGAGTCTTTGAAATGCTCGTTTTCTTAAAACGTGATATTGATTCTCTAATTGAGTGCACATAATTTCGTGTTAGAGGATTACAACTGTACCGATTGATAAATTACGTAGAAAACTACTGACAAAACTTATTAAAAAAATGATATCTTTAATAACTTACTAGTGTATTTATTATTTTGATATTTTAAGAAAATAAATCACGTATGAAAAGAGCCAGATGTCCATAATAATCAATTACTAGTTACCCATTCTACCCCATTCTTTATTTTTTTCCTCTCTTTTAACATTACTAAATATTCTCTATATATTCGAAAATATTTCTCACCCTATTTTTGCCACCACCCCCTTTTTTATAAGAATCACTCCCTCAAACGTCGATGTCATCGAGTTAAAGCATAGAGACTCGATGATCGATAGATTTTTTTTATATTATGTTCGAAGGGTGATCGCCATTAATAACTTGGAAAAATTTCGTGAAAACGTATTCGTTTTATGTCGTCCGGGCTCAGGGATAAAGGGTAATTTTCGGGATGAACGGACACGAGGACGACGACGAAAACGCGACGCTGCATTTCTCGTCTTCAAAATAGGGGCAAAACTGACCGCTGCATCCCTAAAATATCAAAAAGTCAAGTCTGTGTGAAATTCTTAAACGTGGCACATAAGGAGGGCGACGACGTTCTTTCTGAAGGGATGAACGTTATCTACTCGGTGCCGGTTTATCAACTTTTATGCAGGACTTAACGCCTATGTATTGGAAAATTGAGATTTTCCACACGTTTTCTCAATATTTTAGAAAAAAAACTAATATTACAGAATAGAAAAATGAAAATTTATATTGAGGCTTAATAGAATTTTCTGGTTATTAAATTGATTTTTCAGAATGGTGAAAACCCTTCAACCGTTTTCTCGGACGGTCGGAGCAATTTTTTCTATAAGAAATCGTACCCCGATTGAATATCAATTTGGTCAGCGTGCACTCGGCAGCCCCCCTCGAAATTTAAATAGTGCGGATGAGGAATTTTTGCCTCTTTTGAATATGTAAAATAGCGGTCTGATTTTTAAATCGAACGTGATCCGACTTCGTTCAACCCCAAAAATTTCAAGTATCTTGTAAAAAAGTTTACGTTACGTCCAACATCTCAAACAATTTTAAATCACTCTATTTTAATAAGCAATTACGATCATAAAAATTGAATAATAAGCACGGCCCCTCGGTTTAAATTAGAGGGATTCGACGAAAAAGAAATATATAAAGTCACTGTTCTTGTTAATGGTAATTTTATTGTTGTCTTTTTCTTCCTCGCTTCGTCGAAAGACCGCGAGGTCTTTTGTCTTAAAGCAAGGTCGTTTCTCCTACAGGAGACGAATTGTACTTATTTTCAGGTCATTTCGCTGGCCCCAAAGTGAAAGAAAAAGTACCATCATCGCTTCGCGTCCATCCAACAAATTATGGAATCTCGTTTTTTCGACTTGGCGACGACGACATGAATATTTTACTGCTTAGCCCACACACGATTTTAAACGAACCTTTTGGATAATTAAAAAAAATTTTTTTAACCATTAAACGACCTAAAACGCTGCGATTATTTCCCCTTTTAAAAATCCCTTTCGATTTAGATCACGTGTTTGGATTTAATAACACGTGGCGTAAATAAATTATTTTAAATATAATTTGATATCAATAAAAAATCGTTTTATTTCTTTACATCTCCTTTAAAAAAAACACATCTTTATATTTCTTATTCAAATCCGAAGAACACTTTGAATACGTTTACTCGGCATTCAGTAAAGGTGATAAAAGTAAACTACAACCCCTAAGGGAGGGGTGTGGATTGTGTAAAAGAAGCTGGATAAAAATTTGAATAAACCATAGCTTTCTTAAAAAAAAGTCGAAATCTTTCGTTTTGATTCATATAAAAAGGAGAAAATAAAAAGGGGGTGATGTAAAAGAGGGTTGATGTGACAGTAAAAAAACGATTAACCCTTCATCCAATCGAATTAACGCGTGCGGGGAACTCGTTTTCGAATCATCCTCAAGGGGGTTGGTGAAGATTTTAACCCCCTTTTGTTGGATACACGCGCCATTTTTTTAAATAGTGATTAAGATTTTTTTTTTAAACTTACCATCGTTTGAATGGGGTGTTGAAGGTGTTTTATCCATTCTGTTTAACGGCCGTTGTTCCGCTGAAAATAAAAATAATACTTAATTTCAAATTCAAAATATAATTTTGAATGATTTCTTGGCCCATTTATAATAAAAACTTGGTTTCGTTGGCATAATGTTTTGCGGTTAGTTTTCTTCCTTGTTAACAACCGTAAAACGTCCGTTTAAAGTAACCGAGAAATTTCCATTGGGTTTAAGGGAAACCGCAACATCAGATCACTTTTTCTCTCAACCGCTTTATTTTTTATATAAAATTACAATCCAGTTAATAATAAGTTGTTAAAATATAATAAAATTGAGGTTGTGTAATATAAAGTAAAAAAAAAACGTTTTATCCAAAGCATTTCAAAAGATTTAATAGAGAAATTAATTAATTTTTTCTTCTTTATCATTAAAGTTTAAACAACTGTAATTAAATAAAAAATTAATTTATTAAGATTTTTCAATGCAGAATAAGTTTTAAGTGAGTTCATATTGACTTTGATACCGAATAAAGACTTCGGATGAAACGGACAAAATATTTTTAAGTCTGAAGATGCACGGCTAAACACAAAACTTTCTAGTTCTAGGTCTGGTTTTAGTTCAATAAAAAATATACAACAATCTAACTCTGAATTAATTGTTATCCATTGGTAAATTGTTGCATATTTTTATTCAACGAAAACTAGAACTAACACTAGACCTAAAACTAGAAGCATTCGGGTTTAGCCGTCTAAGAGTTAGTTCTAATGCTAGTGTTCGTTCTAGTTTTTGTAATTATTCGGCGTAGTCAGGAGCTACCTCACAACTATACTACATATGTAATTTAGGAAAAGCCACTACGTTACGAGGGTATGTGCAAAAACGCAACTAAATCTATCTGAGTACAAAACAGAGTATAGCGCTTCGAATAACACTTCTAAAATTGTTTGGCGTGAGGGCAAAAGTATGTTCAACCTAACTACTTCTTCCATCTGCACGATATGGAGAATTCTTATAAGAACTAGTTCAAGCTGTTGGTGCATAAAATAAGAAATAAACGACTAGGAGGAACATGCAAGTTAATTCTTGATAGGAGATATGAGAAGTCTACTAAAATCTACGCAATTGAAGCATGGGCATATGATAGATTTGGCAGGCAGACAAATAATCAGTATAAGGATGACAGAATCGATATCAAAGGTGTTTCAGAAACCTAATCAGAACTCTCTCTATTCTATTAACATAAACATGATAATGAGGAATCCAAACAGTGCTTCCAAAACATAAAACACTATATACAAAGGATATACATAGAAATTATAGGCAATGTCATACAAATCCTAGCATTCTATTAGCTCTAGCCACAACTTCATCAATGTTGATCAAAAAGTAATTAATTATCTAAAATGATACCTAAATTTTAAATAGAGTCGACGCGATGCAGAACTCCAAACCTGTGCTCATAATTGCATTAATGAATTGTTTTAATTCTTATTCGATCTATGCACCTATTCCCAAAATGTAGCAGTTGTCTTAGATTCTATCGTCCTTGGTATAAATATGTTATATCGAGGTTATAAAGTTTATAAACAAATTGGTGAAAATATCAGATAATTCCAAATTAAGTTTTGTACTTCTCAAGCTTATATTTAGGTTCTTTTAAGATTTAGATCTTGATTTGAAGTTAGTGAGGAGAGCTTTACTCGGGTATAATTTACGACTACATTGAGGGTTAGTGAGATAAGATTGGGTTAAGTCTAATTTGTATGTGGTAGGGTTGGCTTTAGTTTGCATGGATTGGGTTGGGACTTGATTGGTTGGACTGCTTGTTGGACTACGCTAGTTCGCTAGGAATCAAAAAAGCTTCCTTAATATTGAGGGAGTTTTTATAGTCTTAGAAAGTATCAGTATCCAGGCAAATCATGAAACTATTGAGTATTTTAATTCCAAACAGACTGACTAAGGAAGCAATGAAGAAACAATTAATCAGCGAAAGGCAGTACTGGGTTAAAATCATTCATAGAGGCCCAATTACCTAATCAGAAAGTACAAAGTTTTGAGATTTAGAGAAAATTAAAAGAGAATCTAAACATCCAAAAATTATGCATTATGGTGACTATCTTAAATATTGAGAATGCATTTAATTCTGCTCCGTGAGAACTCCCTCAGGGATCTATCGTTCGAAAGATGTGCTAATTTAATAGTCTATGTATGTTTACGACTTGGAATTAGTTATAAGAGGCATATAAAAAGCATGAGAAGAGATGTAGAAGACACAACGAGATATGCAGTAAATCATACAGTGGAAAGCTCCTCAAATGCGAAAATGGCGTTATGTCCTTCCTCTCTCATTTAATACAGACCAAAAAATCTTTATTTCCGAAATGGGGGGGTATTTTAGAATTCCTAGACACTCCAGTTATGACGTCTTGATTCAAGAAGGCGCTGTGAAGTCGCTTTGCAATTATGTCAAAAATGTCTCGGATGTCAGAGAATAAAGAGGAAATGAAGAAAAATATGATAGAGGGCTCCTAGAAGACCCTAAAGAAATGCAAATTTTAACAAAAATGAAGAATTATTGATGATATAAGGAAGTTGCAGAACTGCTTATATCATCAGAACCAAGTTTGAGTGATGAGGTCTTTTCTACATAGAAATCAACTAAACGAGACATCAACAAACTGATTTATAAGACCAAATAGGAGAACTAGAACGATTTGAGGAATGAGTTGGATGAAAACGTAATGACACGCCAGTTATGACGTCCATTAGGGCCTTGACTAAAGAAGGCAGTGTGATGGAGTTAAAGTAGCTTTTCCTTCCTTTTACTGAGGGATAGAATGGCAATTATGTCAAAAATGTCTCAGATGTCAGAGAATGAAAGGAAAAGAAGAAAAATGTATGATATGCTAGAATAATGAAATGCCTATTTGAACGAAAATGAAGTATAACTGATGATATAAGGAAGTTGCAGAACTGCTTACATCATCAAAACCAAGTTTGAGTGATGAACTCTTTGCTACTTAGAAATCAACTAAACGAGACATCAACAGATTGATTGATAAGATCAAATAAGAGAGGTAAAACAATTTGAAGAGTGAGTTGAATGAATAAAATGGCAATTATGTCAAAAATGTCTTGGACGTCAGAGAATGAAACTAAAAGAAGAAAAATGTATGATACGCTAGAATGATGAAATGCCTATTTGAACGAAAATGAAGAATAATTGATGATATAAGAAAGTTGCAGAACTGCTTATATCATCAGAACCAAGTTTGAGTGATGAGCTCTTTTCTACATAGACTCTTTTCATTCACTGAGGAATAGAATGGTAATCATGGCAAAAGTGTCTTGGATGTCAGAAAATGAAGAGGAATTGAAGAAAAATGTATGATATGCTAGAAGAGCTCTAGAAGACTCTAAAGAAATACCAATTTGAACGAAAATGTAGAATAATTGATGATATAAGGAAGTTGCAGTATCATCAAAACCAAGTTTGAGTGATAAGCTCTTTTCTACATAGAAATTAACTAAACGAGACATCAACAGATTGATTGATAAGATCAAATAGGAGAAGTAGAACGATTTGAGTTCATTAGGGATGGTGTAGGATGATGATCAGAATATCGAGGGATTCTAAAAATTGATAGACCATGGTGTATTCAGAGGTTACTTGCAAGACATTAAAAAGGCAGGCGTAGATGAGTGTTGGTTTTGCAAAGAAACATATCGGAATATATTTTAAGTATGGTACAACCGTAATGTAGTTATATTTTTCTTGCTTTCAATTTTTTTTAAATTTCAATAATAAATTCGTATTTATGTTCTGATATTTTACTTATCTATTTTCACCAAAACGTAATGAGAAAGTAAATATAGGGATAAGATAGGATATATGCAAAAGCATTACGGTTCGAGGGTGAAAAATAATAGCATAGGGTCAGTAGTCCTTTGGGGGTCGTAAGGGAACCAAACTACCCGAGACAGGACGTTGGCGTCCAAACGTCCCTAGTATAAATAATGCACTTATTGATAGATATGCACCGGGTATCGCTAACGGTTCGCTTTTAGCGTTATTGAGACGTCGCTCGACGTCTCGGTGTCCTCTCAACCCATTTTTTCGATCACCTTATCCCCAAAAAAGATATATATACAAAATAAAAATCCCCCAATTCGTTTTCGCGGTCATCTGACATTTGCATGAAGTGAGTGGGTTTTCGGTTTTTTTAAATATTCAATGAGGAAATATGGAAAGCTATGAATATAGCTGGGGTAACGAATAGAACATCTGCGTCATTTTGATCTTTCTACTTTTACGTTTATGATACCGCGGATTATTCAAAAATTCACGAGGCAATTAAATTGATACAATGGAAACATTCATCCATTGACATTTCGATGTTGACATGCGATTGAGGTAATTCCTCGAATGAAAATTCCTTTACAAACACAATTTTTATTTTCTTTCTTCGTTGTTAACTCTTTTTTCGTATCAAGTTATTTAAATGAGGAATAAAAATAGATAAATATGATTCATTAAAAACTAAATTTATTATAATTATTGTAATAATCGTAAAAGATAACGAAATCATTTTTTTAATTAAACAATTATTGATTTGTTTTTTAAAAAAAAATTATTAATTTATAATTTTATTAAACGTATCTCATCTTAATCACATTTTACAAACATTTTATCAAACAAGATACCTATTTAATAAAACGACGGAATAAAGATTACCATCTCATGATCTTAATGCCAGCAATTATCAATTTTTCGGAACATTTTTTACAGATTACGTTAATTAAATTTTTAAATTTTAAGTGTTAGATTAAAATGTGCTTAATCCAGAATCTTTTAGAACTATTTATTAAAAATATATATTATATATAAAATATATTATATATATTGGAAAAACGTTTTGTCTTAGGCCCCAAAGAAATTAATGACTCGAAACATAAGCAATAACGTTCGATAATTGGTATTTTCCGGGTCGTATCGGTTGAACCGTTCATTTTTCCTATTAGCACCCATCGAAACCAGTTCCGTAATTAATAATGT